ATCAGTCAAGTTAAAATCTCTAAATTTCAGTTGCATGTCCTTGATCTTTGTCCCGCAAAAAGAGAAATATTATAATTCATAAATGACAACCACCCATAAACGTGATTCCTGAACTAGCTTGTCGTTAAAAATGTATTTAATCCACCTATTATCCTAACTCACAGAGCGATTTTAAAATCGTGATTAGTTTTATGAAGTGTAGATTGTTCCTCAGAGGGTAGAAATAGCCTCTAGCCTTATCGCAGAGTTCTTAATGGAGGGAAAAATTGTGGTTACCTATAGCTATGCCAGTAACAACCGATCCTGTATGATGTCGGTTATACATTAACTCCTTCGAAAAAAGTTTGTGATACGTTGAAAATCTGTTGAATGTGCATTGTTACCGATATAAGAACCAACATAACTGATACCGACATCTACCAGTGGAAACTGTTGCATACCGTAAGCTTGATGAATGGAGCGAAGAGCGGGCCTCAATCCGGTAAAATTTTCACAGCCTTGTCAATACACTGTACACTGAGTAAGTACAATCTATAAAACATTTGTTGGATGATGTCATAGAAATTTAAAGCAAGTAGCGGATGGTTAGATGTAGGTATTTTGGCTTTGGAACATCCTGTAACCCCCAGTCCTAACAAACAGAAAAAAAGAAAACGAGGTGTTTGTTGGTGGCTTTTTAAAACTCTGTCCCTCTCAGAAAGAGAATAGATCAAAATCGCAAAAGACATCTACCTTTAAACATGATTCCTTGGAACTATTTTCATTAACCGCGTAATCTATCAACCTTTTACGATCTGCGTTATTACAAAACGTAAGCGAATAAAGCTATTTTAGTATCTTGAATTTTTTTGTTTTAATGAAGCGAATTATTGCTCCACATCTGGTGGAAATAGCCTCTAGCCTCATTGGTGCGTTTATAAAGAGAAGAAAATAATTGTGACTTATGTCAGTAAGAAGCGATCGCGTATTGTTTTGTCCATTACACACAATCTATGTTAAAACGTTAGAAAATCTGTTGCGCTTGAGTTGTTATCAAGTGGGCTTCAATCCGGTAAAATGTTTACAGCACTGTCGATAAGTCGTGCGCTGAGTAAGTACAAACTCTGCTTTATCCAGAGGTTATGCTCTCGAAATGTATGGGAAGTAGTGGATTGTTAGATAAAGATATCTTGGGATTGGAACATCCTGTAACCCCAAGCGAAATCCAACCGGAGAGAAGATATAATCGGCGGCTTTTATTAGGCTCTCTTGGGGAAACCAATTCTTTAACGTCTGTTCTTGACTTTTATTATACTTGAAAAGAATATAGGTAATAAAGATAAATTTATGAGTTGAAACAAAGGAAGAGAGGTGTTTAAGCTTGTTTCGGAATATAGTTGTTAGTTTTGTAATGACGTAAAATGATTTGGAAACAATTAACCACAATGACAAAATTACGCGGTTATGAAATCGAAATTCACGATATAATTCATGGTTATTGTGTCATAAATGACGTTCGGTGAAATACCATTTAGAAATAACATGTAGGCTCTCAGAACACAATAGCCTGGCTAGCTACCTTCTGAAGTTGCTGTGACGAGATGTCAGCCGACAAGCACACATTGTAAGATCTACTGCGGTGTTTTNATCTTAAAATGAATAGGAAAAAATATTATGAGGCTTATTTATCAATACATTTTGATTATTTACAATAATCAGTCATAGATATTACGTTGGTACATCAGTCCGATTGTGGATATAAACGTGACTTGAAGAAACTAAACAATAACTGAACAAGAAAAAATAAAGAATAACAGCGCTTTCACTTTGATCTCCCCAATTTTTACCCTTAAAACTTAAGGTGATTCCTCAGTATTGCATTGCGCAACCCGTATTGCGCATAGAAATCACGCAATCGGGTGAAAAAGTACGCGCATTTCGAGAACGCGATATTGTTTTTAAATCAATGACCAGGTAAAAAGGTACAATGGTCCTCAGCTCTTGGACGAGCACGCTGACCTGTATTTCTTACTGCATAATTTTGGTGTACAAATTATCCCGTTTAAATTGGAGAAGTTTAAAAAAAATCGTCGACGGTAAAAAATATACAACTAAAAGTGTGCAAAAGTCCTGTTGATGTACCGTGAGCCGATGAAATGACGCGTGTGGCTAGAGCCAGTACAGGTATAAATGGGGTGTACAGGCACAAGCACGATGATCTTTCTTTTTATTGTATTTTTCGAAACACACGCTGGTAGGGAACATGTAGGGAAAGTTGAAAACAATTTGTTCGATAGCTTTTATTCTAATTTTTGGTTTAGTGAAGTAACGAGTTTCTGTGCTCATTGTTAGTTAGGCATGAATACTATTAATATAGACAGTATTTTTCGTCTCCATTTTCATCATTATCATTATTGCTGTCATCGTTACGATCTAAAAATATGTATTTTTTCTTTTATTCATTTATATATTTATGTTTCTCATAGAAAGTCCATGTACTCATTTCAAGAAATCCTCGTACATCTTTACAAAATGGGGACGACGTTATTGGGAGAACAGTGACGTCTGCTTCAGTCATGGAGGAGACCTTGTTTCCATCGAAACGGATGAAGAATGGAATTTTATCAAGGGTGAGATTCAAAAGCGTAATAGTTGGAATACTACTGCATGGCATATTGGTTTATGCAAGGGTTACTCGGATGGGAATTGGACATGGTCTAGTGGAGCACGACTGAATATTTCGAAATGGCGAAATTCTGAGCCAAATGGCAGCGACTACAGAGCAGAAATATCCAAGAATGGAGGCCTGTTTAAAGGTATCTCTAGCCATGATGAAAATGCGTTCATCTGTGAATTTCCTGAGGGTAAGCAAACATTCCACCCATAAAGTACATTAAGTGCTAAACTATTTCCGCAGAGCCCTGGTCCCGTTAAAATTTATTTTAATGACTAATTTTGAGAGGTAAATATATTGCTCTCGCAATATCGAAATCCTCTGCCAACTTGAATGTGTAAGCAGTGAATAAACTGTTTAGTGCGCATTAGCGGTTTCAAATTAGCATAACTCGCACTTGTATTTAATTATGCGTTTTTTTTTTTTCAGCCCGTTCTGATCAACAAAGGGAGGGGAGGTGACTCAGGCTGCTAGTCAACCTTGTTATAAGTGTCATACAATAAGTGCAAAAACTGCATGAGCTTACAGGTAGTTTTAGTGCAATAATTCAAAATAGAATATCCGAAATAGAACTCGTCGCAGTGAAGAAATATGTGTCAAGTACCACTCCTGGTAAGAGCTGCTCTTCGACCAAAAAAGAGTTTTCTGTTATTTTTTTGCCCATGAAAAATTTCGGGACAAATGTTATATAAAAAGTTTCATCATTCTAGAATCATCCTTTATTATGCTGCGCTGGAAGCCACAGCAAGTTTTCGGCGGGCAAAGCGCCTGAAAGAAACGCGATCGAAAGGATACATTTCTCAACATTTGTCGAGCACGCATTCACTGCAGTCGGTGAGTGTTTGCATGTTGTGCTCATAATAACACATCGAAGTATTCTTGTCTGTGCTTGTACGAGTAAACGATAATTAGATACAGTTGTTTCGGAAAAAAGCGTGTCGGAAAGAGTACATGATAGCCCCGAAAAGTACTGTGGGTAGTCTTCAGGTCTTGGTTACTTGACCTCAGGATTTCGGGCAAGTCTGAGAAAATGTCACTTTAAGGACATAGCATTGCGGATTTAATGAACTTATTTTGTACACAAAAATGATTTTTTTCTTATTCTAAACTGCATAAAAAAATACAAAAAACAAAAAACCGAAAAAAACATAAAAAAAAAACCAAAAAAACAAGAAAACAATTGGCCCCAATAGAAGACGAAAACTATTTAAACGTAATGAGAGCGAATTCAATTGCAACTGCATGTAGGTATTTCTTTCCTGTTTTTTCGGCGTTCTCGCCATATCTATTTAATATCTATTTCACATGTTAGAACTCACTGATCACCGATACCCTGTCTTCGAGACCGACGCGTGCGCTTTTGAAATTTTTTTTTCTCCGTCGACCATTCCTGTATGAACTGTATACGGATAACTGAGTAACTCCGGTTGCAAATTTACGAAAAATTACACTCACATTTGACTTTTTTTTAAGCTTGTAAAGATGGAGGTAGGAGAGGGGGATCAGCTCCGTGACGAATTTATCGATTTTCCAAAATCCAACAACCAAAATTTCACGAACTCACAGACGTGTAAGGTAAAATATTTTCTAAAAAAGCAGAGCAGAGAGGGCGGACGGAGTAAAGAAGAAAGATGTACTGTGTTAGTTTACACCGATCAAACATACCCTGCCGATATTAAAAGTACGAATAGAAATGGGAAAACAGAAAATAAGCCACAATTTCTAGCTTATTTATTATCCTTTACGGCGATTGTGATTAGATCATGTTATCATCATAATCATAATTATCTTTTTGTTTAATATCATCATGATAATTATCTTTGTTTTCATTCTTATCATTTTGTAGAATGCCCCAGTGTATCTTTTGAAAACTCTTGGTACACATTTACGGCGTGTGACAGGTGCTGGCGCAAGCGCAGGCACCCGTACTCGCTCTGGTACTGCTCCTGGGGCTGGGACTGGGGCTGGAACAGAGCCGCTTGCCAAAGCCTAGGAGGAGACCTAGTTTCCATCGAGACCGAAGAAGAGTGGAATTTCATCACGGACGAAATACAAAGGCGAAATGCTAGCATCCCTAAAAATGGATGGAGCATTGGATTAATGAAAAAAGCTGGGAATTGGACCTGGATGTGTGGAACACCGCTGACCATTAGCAAGTGGGGAGATGGGCAGCCAAGTGGTGACGGCAATGGGACTCACATATACAAGGCGTCTAGTAATGGCACACGGATTGTAATTGGTGATTGTAGTGAAGATTTGTACAGCGATTATATATGTGAAATTCCCAGGGGTAAGACAAACTTAACATTTTGATAATTGTTATATTATCATTATTATCGTCATTATCATTATTATTATTATTGTTATAATTATCATTATCATTATAACAACTTTTAATAGCTGGTAGGGTCAAAATAAACATTGTCGTGCTAGCGTTTGTCAAACTTACCATAGAAATTATAAGCCTTCTGTTAGTCATGATCAAGGTTACACTTAAATTTTTAGGGATAGATTAAGGCTGGGGCAATCCAATATATGCTTTCACGATATACATTTCTAACTATCACCCTTGTGAGTGGAGGAAAGGTAGCAGATGGTTTAGTTACGGTTTATGTACCTGCAATGTGTACCTACAGAGTTCAAGGTCATTTACTTTTATTACCAACTTTAATTTGTTGGTAATTATAATGCAAAAACATGAGGGCAAAACAGCTACGATAATACACGTGGACGTATTAACATACTCTATAATGTCAATTCGTTCCGGTGTTCACTTAATATAGATCTTTAACAATGTAAATTAGCAAAATACAATGTATTTAAGTGTCCGCATCCGCTTAATAGAGGTGTCTGCTGAGAAAGAGTTCGTTATAAAGGGAAAAGCAAGACGTTCATTTCAGGACTCGGCTTAGTATTACTTAGTACTGCGCGCTTCTCTTGAGACTGCAATCGGGCAAGTCAGCGGATTTTCTTTACAAGCCAATTACAATTCCCAAAATGTCCACGTGATCATACCCGTGATCGGAAACAAAGAAAATTCCATTTGGCGCTCATCTTTGAATGTACTTTTCATCGGTTGATCGCTCGTGCGTTAATCTATTTCTTTTCACGACTGTTTTGCTGAACATAACATCTCTAAAGATGGGTTTTACCGTTGTTCAATGGGAAAACGAGAACAGCGTGAGTGGTATAAGAGTGCACTGCGCCACTTTATAGCAGAGTGCCGTGCGGGTCTGCATTCCAAAAAAGAACTTCACTTAGCGCAAGTGTACACGCTTCGAATGCATTGCGTTGTTCTAGCGTGTTTCTCAATATGATTGTGAAAGCCAGCCGACAATCGAGCAAATGACGATACTCTTCTTCATAATACAACGGCGCTGAAGGCTTCGGAATTTAACAGCGGGTTACGTGCGCTTTCGATAACATTTCATCGCACAGTGAGCCTCTACTTGAATATGTCTTATGCCAGTTTAAGCAATATAAGGGAAAAAACAGTGGCATCTCTTTACTTCAGTTACGAAAGAAACAATCTCCCCACCATCCACCCCACCATGACTATTTGCATCCTAGAAATTCTACCAGAGTCACCTCCCCTCCTCCTCGCTAACTGGAGGATTTGTCTTATCGTCAGTTCTGCCGATGGTTTAAATCTTCCGTTCGTATAATAAGGGAAAATTTTCAAAATAA